ACTGCTATATCATTATTCCAAAAGAAGAATTATCAATATGAAGTGCTAATGTTGAATACAGCTTATGGGGCAAGGAATAGGAGAGAAAGGTAACAAGAAATGTTGTATTTGAGTAGAACAAAGCTTTCTGAGCAAATGAAGTACTGTATTCATAGGGTGACACATGGCATGAGTCACTCATGTCTGCAGGTCATGTAACTTCCATGGGCTGTTGCAAGACTGCAGCTGACAATGAAAGTTGTCTCCTGCCAGAAAAACCTCATGTTAAACTATCTACCATGATACCAATAATTCATGGCAATATATTCTCTTGGTGCTTGATTTCTTAAACTCTACCATAACCAAAGTATTATCCTGAGGTGCTACATTTTTCTTATCCAGAACCTAACCCCTTCCTCCAGCCTTTCTAATCATTTCATGGTATATTTTTAGCTTTTATGTTGACAAAACCGAGTAACTTTATTGAAATAGAGTACATGGTTATATGTAGCATTCTATTATACTTTAGTGACATTCAATCTTAAGCAGTTTGTATTTAAATCAGTTTTCCTTGGCAGAATATCTACCATGGCATTTCATGTAACTAGATGATTACAATGTGTAAAAGATAAGAATTGTTTGCTATTGCCACTATTCTCTGTTAATAGCAGTATGTATGTGAATGAGGGCAGTGTATTCCTAGCAGAACTCAGAAACACATGTGCAAAAAACAGTTCAGGGAGAGTGAAAGATCTAATTTAGGCCTCATCTGAACCCCACACTGGCTGAAACTAGGAGCTGTTATTGCCATAAATAAGCATTTCCTTTATGTCTGCTTAGGAGCACCCATGTTTTCACATGTGTTTATCCTTGCCTGTACCAGATGCTTCCCAATCAAAGTGCACAACTGTGACTCACAGTCACAATTAAAATGCACATTTCAACATAAAGTTCAAGTTCCAAGCACAGTGTGACTGGTTGTGTTACAGAAATGGCATTTCTTACCCCTCACTGTATTCCTGATTTGAGTTATTGACTTTTCTTTAAGTGAGAGATTTTTTGCTTTGAATTTTATTTTCTTATTGTGGATATCTTTGCTGTTGGAGGCATGTTTACTGATGGAGAAAACCAGGTGCACATCCATCCATTTTGGGTGTTCCTCTGGTCTGTCTGTATCACCACACAGCTCAGGTACCTCTCACTTTGACACACACATCCCCTCAGTGCTGCTCACAGTGTTTCACAGGAAGGAAACAGAATGAAATTGTCATTTATTACCTCCCCACCACACGAGAATCTGTGCTTGGTGACCTTTTTGTGATTACTTCATTTGTTTGTGGCAGAGCAGGAACTGAACCAACATCATCCACAGTTCCTGTAACAACCAGACCTCTGTTCCTCTGCCTAAGTCTTTGCACTTTGTTAGGATAAAGATATACAGGCTATTTTTAATGTAAAAAAACCCCAACACTGTGGTCAGATCTAGTTAACATATGCAGGTTTGGGCATTCAAATGTTTACATGTTCCATAAAATGGAAATAAACACTTAGTAAGGTGTGTGCAGAAATAGTCACTTTTAGTGTTTCCAAGGCATATTACCATTAGTATTTAATAGAACTTTATCTTCTAAAGAAGGAATTTAATTCCATTTTTGTAAATAATATGGAACCAGGACTGGAAGAGAAGACTGACTTGTGATATTGGCAAAAGACATCAGCTCTGGGGTTGTTTCTTTTCACATGAAAATGTTTGGATTTAACAAAGGTCCACAAATACATTTCTAGAATTAGAAGGTGGCAATGAATCAAAAGTCTAACCATTCTTACAGATTTTCTTCTAAGAGTTTGTCTCTAGAATTTCTTCTGTAGTACTCACAGGGTTGTTTTTGGATAATCATAGGTTTGGATACAGGAGTTACTTGACTTCTGAGGAGATAATTTTTACTGGTAGAGATGACAGGATAGGGGACACACTCATCATAGAAACAACCTGTAGTCTAAGCACGCAAATGTGTTATTTACATTCATGTAGAAATAATGCAGAAAATAAATGATAAGAACTTTTCTTGGGTATGATTTTTTAAATGAGATGTGCCCTATTCCCTTGGTCAGTACTACACAGGATTTGATTAGCATTAAGTTTGTAGTTAACCTGAGGAGAAGAACCAGTGATGTAAATCTGCATTTGCTAATCCCAGTCTCCTCCTGCAGCAGCGACAATAGGAATAAAACCATACAGCTAATCACAAATTTGTTCAAGAATGTGTTTAGTGGTTGCAATACCAATCTGATGAAACATTTGCCCTGAATATGGTAACACACTATCATTTCAGGCTGACAGAAGCAAGGGGAAATGCAGATATGCTTTGCCAAGTGGCTGCAAGGCTCGTGGGGTTTTTTTGATGTGGTAACGTGGCACGTGGTAATGAGTGTCATTTGGTTTGCTTCTGACACCCTTTGCTGTGAATGGAATCTCAAGGGCCAGAAAGGTTTGATTCTTCTTTTGCATCAATTTAAGTCATAAATTACCCCAACAAAATTCATGGAATGATTATAATAATGGCTTAACACAAATCTAGATAGAATGACTGCAAATAAAAAATAGTAAAGATAAGTATCTTCATTAAAAGAAAAATACATAGTTGAGTGAGAGAACCAGGCCACGGGTATGCATACATATAATTAATTACCTCAGAGATGCTACAAATGGACCTTGATAGAGTGGTTTGGTTTGTTGTTGTTTTGTTTGGTGGGGTTTTTTTTGTTAATGGTTTCATTAAATGGAACAAATGACAAGGTATAACAATGAATTTGTTCTCTGGAACTGGATATTATCTGTTACACCTTGTACCATTGCCCCACATAGGCAGCAGGAGGAAGCAGAAACAGTGTTTACAAGGACAGGTTAAAAACCAGAAATGCAACAATGTTTTCCTCTGTACCAATCTGTGCTGGTGCCAGGGAAACACACCAGTGTCTTTCTTTTCAAATAACCAGGCCACTCAATGACAGCTTTTGCAATAATTTAAACCACTGCTCCCTTGGGTCTGCAATTACCTGAGCATTAATGACAAGCAAAATACATCTTTCCCCTGCAGCCAAGGAGCAGTGTGCTCTCTGCCTTCATTACCCTCAAAGGGAGCTCAGAATGTGTCCTGTGCATCCTCAACCTACACCTGACATCCTGCATAATTACACCCAAGCAAGAAAAAAGGGGACTTCTAATATTTGCAAATGGGCATGTATGACAGCAAGTGTTGCAGAGCCACTGGTGTTTCATGCACACTGCTGTGGGTTTGGCCTTCTGTCCTACATCCTCTGCTCCTACAACTCCTGCTCAGAGCTGCACAACAGAGCTGCAGCACCGTGCTCCTCCCTGGGACCCCTCTCCAGTCAGGGAGCACTTCAGCAAGGGCTCAGCTCTAAAGCCTGGCTTTAGTCTGAGATGGCAGTATTTTTTACAGACCAACTGTGATAAAACTTATCTTTGATCAACAGTTCTGAAAACACTGGCCCTTGGCCAGACTCATCTGTTTCTTCAGTTTGAGCTCAATTAGAAGACTCTGCTTTTTCATGAACTCTGGCATGAAACAATCCCACGAGCCTTGCAGCCACTTGGCAAAACATATCTGCGTTTTCCCTGGCTCCAGCAGGGCTGAGCACACTCTTCACCCAGGCCCTGGGTGCAGGCTTTGGAGCTGGGTGATGGGTGAGGATGTCCCAGCTGCAGTCTCCATCTGCACAACAAACCAGCATTGTGAAAGAACAAGGCTGCCTTTGTAAGGCATTCATTTCCTACAGGGTCCTTTTCAGATACCCTGCTTCATTTTCCAAGTGGAAAAATAATTTGGAGACACCATCAAACTGAATGAATGATAGAATTTTGTTACATTTCACTGAAATGCAAGTAATAAAAGTAATAAAAGCATGTAGTAGATCAGACCCTCTGAAGATGCTGTTTTCCCAGTGAAGGAATGGGCAGCAGGACATCCATTTGGGTGTTCCAGAGGCTGGCAGATCCCAGTGCCTGCCAGCACAGGGAGCACAGGGAGCTGCAGTGCTGGTCCCTCCCAGCAGCATCAGCTGGGTGTCTGTTTTACAGCAGATCACAGTTTGTGAAACACTTTCACTCAGTGCAAATAGTTTCACTACTTTAATGTTGGATGCTGTTAAGAAAGCAGATGGAGTCAAGTAATCTCTTAATTTGCAATTGAGCACGATAATAAACAGCCTAAAATTTATCATGTGAACTGTCGTAAAGAAGATCTTTTTTTGCTGGAGAAGGCCACATTTCCAGTAGGCAGCTGTGGAAAGGGACACTGCCACAATGAGTCTTGCTGTATTTAATTTTCATTCTCTTATTTTTCTTTGTGCTGTAACATTCACCTTCAGCTCATATTAGAGAACAAATAAATAAATAAAAGACCAGTTTTACGGGATCACAGAATCAATTAGATTGGAAAAAACCTCTGGGATCATCGCGTCCAACCTATGACCAAACATCACCGTGTCACCCATGGAGTGCCACTTCCAGTCTTTTCCTTGGACATCTCCACGGGTGGTGATTTCACCACCTCTCTGGACAGCCCGTTCCGATGTCTGATCACCTTTCTGGGAAGAAATTTCTCCGCAAGTCCACCCTAAACCCCCTCAGGTCAGCTTAGCGCTATTTCCTCTTGTCCTGTCTGTCGTTGTGTGGACAAGAGTGAGATCCCCCCGCGGCTCCCTCCTCCTGCCAGGGAGCTGTGCAGAGCCAGAAGGTCCCTCCTGAGCCTCCTTTGCTCCAGGCTGAGCCCCCCCAGCCCCTTCCCCAGCTCCGTTCCCTTCTCTGGACCTCCTTTAGCGACATTCCAAAGCCGTGAGGAGCCCAAGCCGAGATTTCCGCGGGCCGTCCCCGCCCCGCCCGCGGAGGGGCCGCGGTGCCCGAGGCCGCCGGGCCGGGCCGCCCCCGCGGGGCGGCGCGGGGAGATGATGCCGGGAGATGATGTCAGCGGCGGGCGGGCGCTCAGCCATGGGGTGAGGGCAGGGACTGAGCCGGCCCGGCCCGGCCCGGCTCGGCGGCGGCAGCAGCACCATGTCGGGCCCGAGCGCCGTGTCGGACCCGCAGCACCCGGCGCGGCTGCTGCGGGCGCTCAGCTCGTTCCGGGAGGAGACGCGGTTCTGCGACGCGCACCTGGTGCTGGAGGGCGAGGAGATCCCGGTGCAGAAGAACATCCTGGCGGCCGCCAGCCCCTACATCAGGTACGGCCGGGCCCGCGGCCCCCGGGCGGCCGCTCGGAGGGGCCGCGCTGCGGGGAGCGGGGCCGGGGTTATGTAAGGAGCGGGATCCGCCGCGGGTGAGGGCGGAGGAGCCGGGGGAGGCCGGCGGGGCGGTCTGCGGACCCCGGCTGCGCCTCGGCCCGGAGTTGGCCCGGGCGCTCGGGGAGGGTGTGGAGTCTCCCTCTCCGGAGCCATTCAGACCCCGGCTGGACGCGTTCCTGTGTCACCTGCTCCAAGTGGCAGCTCCTGTCCTGAGGCAGAGGGGCTGGGCTGGGTGATCTCCAGAGCTCCTTTCCAACACCCGCTGTTCTGTGGGAGCAGCTGCTGGGCCACCTCCTTCCCTCCTTCCTTCCCTCCTTCCCGTGCCGCCGGGCCCCTCCGCAGGAGCTGTCGCGTTCTCGGCATCACACCGCTGCTTTTCCAGCTCTGAGAGGCTGTGTCACCCACCACGGAAAAAATCACCCCCAAAACTTCATTGCTGCCAGGCGCCTGGTGTGAAGTAGTGACCCCTAAAGAGAGAAGTGTGAGGATGCTGAGGGAGGTGTCCGGCGAGGGGCAGCATCCCAGGGGCATTGTGAGGCGCTGGGCTCTGTGTGTCCCTCGGCCGCACCGAGTCAGCACTTCAGCATCATTTTTTTCCTCCTTAATGTCTTTTAGCAAGACAGGGCTCCAGGTGGTGTTCATGGGTTCTAAAGTACACCGGCTTCTAAATTAAAAAAATAAAAATACAGGATTGTCTCCCCATCGCTTGTGCCCCCACAACATCCAAGAACATCGCTCGGAAATTGCCAGAGGGACAAAGCCTGGCGGTGCCAGGATCGCTGGCAGCTCTTGGCAGGGCTGTCACCAGCATGTGCAGTCAGAACTGTGCCACTGACAGCCAGTGCTGGGGAGGATGAGCTGCATTAGCACAGTCATGGTTTCAGCCTGGCAGGCAGCTGCTCCTGGGCTGTGTGTGCAGGGAAACCCAGGTCATGGAGAGTCCTGCTGACACCGGTCTGAACCCCATCACACTCGGTGCTGACAAGTCCAGTGACAGCAGGTGAAAAGAATATACCCTCCGTGAGGTGTTATGGTACATGTCTGCATGTCAGAACAGGTAAACAAAACATACAAGTGGTTAATTTCAAAGGGTTTAAAGTCCACTCGTTTGTAGTAATAAAGGCATTTGTTTTGTCTTCATGTGTAAAGTAGGAGCAGACCTTCAGTACCGTTTAAACACAGGATTAACATAAATCTGTAGCAGACTTTGTGTACTGTTTGGACATTTCTTTCGGCTGCTGCTTCCTGTGAAGTTGTCATAAAATTTGCATTTTTTTTGCTAGGTAAGGATGGGAATTCTTTATGCTACAGTCTGAAAAAATTCAGCCTTCTGCAGTGTCATATCATCTGCTTTTAGGCGATACATTATTTTGGCTGACCGCTGAAGTACAGCGTAAACATTCTCAAATACAAAAATAAACTAAAAATAAATAGAATATGAGGCTGGTGAAGAACTTTTAAATAGCAGTGATCATGCACAGACTTAAGTAAACAGTTCTCTGCATCATCTGAGCTAGCAGAGCTGAGATGTGAAATAAAATGCACATAGAAGGAAGATCATCAAGAATTTGCAAAAAGGACATGGTGGAGCCTATGTACTACTAATGATTTTTTGTCACTGCTTGTCTTGAGCAGCAGGTTTGGAAGATTGTGGTGAAAGAAATCAAAGATGTGAAATAGAAATGAGCCGTTGATTCATACTCTTCAAAATGCTTGAATGCTTTTTAGGTCATTGGGCATCATATTTTAGATGACCATATGCCTGACATTAGGTTTCAGAAGAGTTGCTGTAGGTGGTAAGAGGTCATGTCCTTGGAAAAACTGCTGTTCTACTGCTACAGCAGGATGAGTTTACAGAAAAATGTCAATTTTTTTTACTGTGAAAAAAAAATCTTAACTAAAAGATACTGTAGACTATCCTATGGAGAAGTGCCTTTTCACAGAATTTCATCTTTAAGTTTTGCATTTTGTCAATCTCTGAAAAATGTGCTGGGGAAACATGGGTTAATTGTGAGTGAGGAATAAGAGCTCCAGACACAACTACATTAGCAACAAAACTTGTAGTCATTAGAGTTGTGGTTTTTTTAAACTCACAATTGTTCAGGTTCAAATCTCATGAAGGAACTCATTAACTATGTGTGAAAGTAGGTTACATGCATTAATATATAAATATGATTAAGTGTGAGCTTTGTTTTTGTTTTTTTTTAAGCTTACTCATGTCTTCTCCTCAGGCTTTCAAGATGTAAAGAACCAAAAATACGTGTACCTAGTTCTTGAATGGCACATTAGGAAACACTGTATTACCCACCTTTGCAGAGCCTATTTTTTCTTGCTGCCTGTCTCTCTTCTGTTTATCACTCCAGGATCTCTCTCTTAGTCCAGCTGGTCCTCACATTGGGTAGATAGGTCAGGTAGGTTGCCAGTGTTGGAGCATTGTGTTTCCAGCCAAGGAAACACAGTGGCTTTTTTGGGAGTTGAAGTTAATCTCTACCTTGTACCTGTGCAACTCCCATTTATTTGGAGTGTTGGTTTTTCAAAGAAAATCAGTTTAGGCCTGTATATAAACTGTTATTGTAGGAGACACAAGAATTTCCTGCCCCTGTATTTTAAGGGTAGCTGATTGCAAAGCTCTGGTACCACAGGCTGTTACAGTCTCCAAATGCCAATTGATTCAGATTGCTCTCATTCGAAAAATTCCAATATAAAGCTCAGAAAAATCCATTAAGTACTTTCAGAAGTAAAACTTGGAATAAAAAGAATCGTTTATGTGAACCTTGAAGTGAAGCAGTGGAAGGATGAGTTGATGTGGTGTTTTCAGTGTCTGGCTGTCTCATTGTGTGCTGTGGCTGTGGGCAGGTTGGTGGGCGAGTTCAGAAGCTGTAGGGTTTGCATGAATGCCTAGTTTAGGGTGTGAGTAGGAAAATAAGTAGGCATGGACTTTGTGAGGGGGTGGTTGGGTGTGAGCAGTCTGTGTGTGCTGAAGGATTTGTGCAGCCACGGAGAGAGGAGCGTTACCTGTTTTTTAGTTTTGCATGGAAGCTGTTTGGCTGACTGGTTATGAGTAGGACTCTTGTAAATTATAGTGGTGTGTTTTCCCACTAGTTATTTGGCAACTGGATTATCCATGCAGCTCAAAGATAGCAGCTTCAGTGGGGAGAAAAAAAAATGCATGAAGGGGCACAGAGACACACTGGAAGAGTTATTGGTGTCATGGGCCCCACCTGCCTGTCTGATCCATAGGGTGGCTTCTGCAAGTACAGAAAAAGAAAAAAAACCCTGTTTAATTTAAAAATTTTCAGTCTGTGGGACCAGTAAGATATTTAGTTTTTGTGGTAGTTTCATTCTTGAGGTTTTGCCTCAACTTCTTAATGCCAAGTGGTTTGTAGCTTTCTCAGGCCAGAGAGGTCTGGGGTGGTTGTGTGAATTCCTACAGAATTCCTTTATAGGTGCAGGTTTATCTAATCCCTCTGTGTGCCCCTGGAGCAAATCCTGCCATTACAAAGCACAGAAGTCTCCCTGCATATCTCTAACATCTTGTGGTATGTTCCTGAGCCTGAGAAAAGGAGGGTTCCTCAGGAAGAAACCGCCACAGGACAGAGTGTGGTTTGGCTCAAGGTGATGCTGCTGTGCATCCCAGAGTGGTTATATTCAAGCCAGGTTGGCTCTTGGTTTTCTCTTCTGTAACAAATCAGCCAGAAACCTGCCCCTTTTTTTTTTTTTTTTGTTAGCACTCTTTGTCCTGGCAATTTCCTTAGTGTAGATCCTTGCCCTGGTTTAATTTATTTCGTTTGAGAGCTTGATGTAAATCCCAGTGGCGTGAGAGGGCTTTTCCCTGAGCAAACCATGCTTGCACTAGTAAGTTTGGCCTGACTTGTGGCATAGATCTGCCAACCTTTTATAGGCTAGATTTGGTCCAAGCATTCCTGGTATCCTCAGCAGTAGCAGCAGATGTTCCCATCCCAGCAGATCTGTCACTGTCTGGCATGAGTCGTTCCTGGCCAGCTGAAACTTGCAACTCTTTATATTTTGCTCACCTACTGTCTGCTTGCCTGGAACACAGGGAGCATGTGGGAACTACCCCAACAAAGAGGAAATTTAAGCCCTTATTCTTAGACAAATTTAATGTTGTTACGCAGGGATTGTGCTGCTGCATTACAAATTGAATTAAGACATTTTTGTTACCTCAGCAAGTTTTTGTCTTTGATTTTCACGCATCTGCGTGAGCAGATTTCAGATGGCTGTATGTGTTCTATACTGTTCCCCAAGGCTTTTCAAACTCAGTAATGGACCAGTAATCATATTTAAATCTTTTTTTCTGAGAAGCATAATATAACTAAACAAGAATGTAAATGTAAGTTTAAGTTCATATTATTTTTATGTACTTATAAATAGCTGCACTGCTTGTAAATGGGCTTTGGTCAGAAATAACCTGACAGCCTTTGCATCTTCTCACTTGTCCTGTTCAACCTTCTGACATTCCTAAAACACTGCAGACCTTGTAGGACCCTGCACAGCCACAGGCAATGCTGAAATAGATTTCCATGGAGCTGTGGGGGGACGTGCCCCCATCACTGACCTGCTGCCCTTTCCTCTGTGTGCTGGCACTTGAGGCATTTGCAGTTGTCACAAGGGGAGCCTGCTGAGGCTCCATCCCTGTGTGAGTGTGTCTGGGAGCATCTGTGAGTGCTGCTGTGGGAGCTGGGCTGGGATGTGCCTCCTGCACCTGGAGGTGCCACTGGGCACTTCTTGTTACACCTGTTGGACAATGAATATTGCAGAGCAGGGTCAAGTAGGAGCCAACACATGCCAGGAGCTTCTGCTTATTTCCTGGTACCTGTTTGGTCTTTACTGATATTTATAGAGATCTTTTATAGTGTTTTAAAACTTTTCTTCAATTTGGGATGAATATTGAGGTCAGGAACGCAAATGGCAGCTGGAGC